GTGATAAGAGTATATGCTGTGCAATTCCATTTACATCCAACTCTGGGAAAGACCAATCTACAGCGAGATAAAGCAGACTGTGGTGGCCAGAGCTGGGGTGTTATAGATGGCATTGCCTGGGAAAGAGTACAAGGGGCCTTCTGGGCAGTGGAAATGTTCTCTATCCTGAACAAGGTGGCAGTTACGTGCGATGTACACATGCCAAGGTGGCTGCAGAATAGGTGGAAGCTACCCTCACCTCCTCTCAATCCGTGCCAAACCAGATTTATGGCTAAATTATAAAGCAATCAACCTGAATAACCAACTGAAGGCTAGCTAAACTGAAGTACTATAACAAAGGATTTACAGAAGAAGCCACAAAGAGGCTGGTAAGAGGGTGGAGACACAGAAAAGGATGTGCCCCCCTTTCCCCCCCCCCCACCCCCGCCCACACACACAGGTGGAGTGGCTGAGAAACCAGAGGAATATCTCAGCTGCAAAACTCCCTCCTACCAGGAGTGTGGGGCTCAACCCCATGCAGGGATCCCCAACCCAAAGCAGCAGAGACGGAGGAGCCCACAGTGCATCTGGTGGTGAAAACCAGCGGGGATTCAATCCGCCTGGGAGAGCAGAGAGTCTGCTAGAGACCCAGACATCTTCCCAGCTCAAGCACTCCTACTGTTCCAGTACCTGCCTGGAGAGTGCACTTCCAGGTCCCCCAACTACTAGCGACACCACTCTGAGTGCTTGAGTCCTGCAGAGGGTACGCTGGCTGCACCCAGCGGGGATCTTTGGTGTGTTCTTTCTCTGGAGAAGCTTTTGGAGGAAACTCAGTAAGTGCTTCCCCGTTCCCGTGAACACGGCCAGCCTGGGCCCACTCTGCAGCGTTTCCTCAGCAGACTCCAGGAAGACCAGGTAGCCTCCGATCTGCCCCCAGCTATAAGCTGAAGGAAATTGACCCTTGTACACAGCTGGGCCCCTCCCATGCACACCCAGGCCCAGTAGATGCAGCCACAAACAGTGAACAGTGTGGTAGTTCCAGACAGGTAACCCAAGGCTGGTTACACACGATTTATGACATCCACCTGTACCAGAACCCTGCCCAAGTGGCCCAGAACCAATACAACCAGTGGTGGCCTTCAGACTACACCAGAGCTTGACACAACTAGCCACACAAGCTGCATACCCAAAGGGGGATTGTGGCAGGCACCAGACCCTGCTGGAAACAATTCCACTTCGGGGGCAGCCCTGCACAGAGACTCATACACGGGTGATCGAGGTTCATCCTTATAGTCAGCCAGCCTGAGGGAAAACCGCACCACAAAAGGGCCAACAACATTCTAGACTCAATTATAATAGGAAAGTGCACATTACCCACAAGAAGCATTCCTGGAGCACCAAGCTCAGGTGATCTGGAAGATTGTGCTTCTGAACCCAACAAGACACCTACATCATAAAGCCATTATAACAAATTTGGGAGTCATAGCAGATCTACTTAATACACAGACACAAAATGGGGAGACAAAGAAATATGCCCCAAATAAAAGAACAAGAGAAATCTCCCCCCCCCCCAAATTAAATGAAATGGAAGCAACCAAGATACCAGAGGCAGAGTTTAAAACAATGGTTATGAGGATGCTCAAAGAGCTTAGGGGAAGAATAGATGATCTCAGTGAGAACTTAAACAAAGACATAATAAGCATTAAAAAGGACACAGAACCATAAAAAAGAACCATTCAGAAATGAAGAATACACTAGGAGGAATCAACAGCAGACTAAATGAAGCAGAAGATAAAATCAGCAATTTATGG